AAAAAAAAAATCAAAAGAAGATTTTATATTAGATACATTGATTCAAAAGTCATTAGTGAAGATAGATAAAGAAAGAGTTTTTAAGAATGCATGATCAACTACAAGGTATGGGTTGCAAGATTGTTGAAGTTCAAGAAGAATATATTCATATGCAAATTTGAAATATGAATATACAACCAATTCACAAATCATCAAATCAGATACTATATATTATTCTTATTTAAATGGCACTTATAAGACCAAAAAGTTTTATAATAATAAATATTTAAGGATAAAAGATGCTATTTTTGACAATAATGAGATAATATTTTATTATATATTTTTATTTTTTTGCAACAATATTATTAAAAAAAAGATTTTATATACTTAATATTTTAAAAATATATTTTTTAAAATTATTTATTTATTTGTATGGTGTTATTAAATAATTCGAAGGACTAATTTATACTAATCAAAACAACAATATACTTGACAAAGTTGAAAGTAATTGTTTTTCTTCTATTTGATTATTGAGCTATGATATTAATGAAAAATATTTATGTGAATTTAATGAATCATTTAGAACTTTAAATTTATTGATAAAAAAATGTTTTAAATTAAAATATCTTATACTGATCATATCAAATTCAAGACGATTCTACAAAAGCTCATTTGAAAAAGTACGACAAATGTTAAATATAAAAGAGATTTAGACAAATTGCAAGAATTTGAATGTCTTGGTTATAAAAAATTGTGATTTTCTAGAAAAGTTTTTAGAATCTATTTATAAATTACTATATTATTGGACCATGACATACAAGAATGTATAAACTTACTTATATTATTAAATAAAATGCAAAGTATGTTATCATTAATAAATCTTAATATTAAAGAATGTTTGCATTTAAAAGTAATACCAAAATGATTAGAAAGAATTACTACTTTAAAAGTATTAAATATATATATCAATACCAAAGCTTGACATCATTACCAAATGAATTAAGCAATCTTATATCTTTGACTATACATGATATATCAGGGTGTATAAACTTGACATCATTGTCAAATGAGCTAAGCAATCTTACATCTTTGGCTATAATTGATATGTCTTTGTGCTTAAAATTGATATTATTACCAAAAGAAATGTGAAACTTTATGTCTTTGCATACATTGAATTTATTTGGATGTATAAAAATAATACCATTGCCAATTGAATTGAACAACCTAACATCTTTGATGGCACTTGATTTATTTTAGTACATAGGACTAACATCATTGCTAAATAGAATTAACAACTATACTTCTTTTATCATATTTGGCTTATTTGAGTATTTAAGCTTCAACTCACTTTCAAATGTATTTGAAAATCTCAAAACTTTAACTATGCTTAATTTAGGACAACAACCATTAATGATACTTATTTCTATTATATCACATAATCTAACAACTTTGACTAAACTTAAAATATCTAATTGCTTGAGTTTGATATCATTACCAAATGAACTAAACAACCTTACATCTTTGAATATGCTTGATATATCTTGGTACAAAAGCTTGACATCATTGCCAAATGAACTAGGCAATCCTACATCTTTGACTATAATTAATATATTTAAGTCTATAAGTTTCACATCATTGCCAAATGAACTAGACAACCTTATATCTTTCACTATGCTTAAAATATTCTATTATACAAACTTCATATTATTATCAAATAAATTAAGTAACCTTATATCTTTCATTAAGCTTAATATATCTTGGTGCAAAAGCTTGACATCATTGCCAAATGAATTAAGCAACCTTCCATCTTTGACAACACTTAAAATATTTGGATGCTTAAACTCAATACCATTTCTAAATAAATCAGATAACCTTACGTCTTTGACTATACTTAAAATATCTTTGTGCTTAAGATTAATATTATTACCAAATGAATTACACAAACTTATATCTTTTACTACACTTAATATATTTGAGTGCTCAAGCTTGACATCATTGCCAAATGAATTAGGCAACCTTACAACTTTGACTAAACTTAATATATCTAAGTACTCAAGCTTGACATCATTGCTAAGTGAATTAAATAATTTTGTATCTTTGATTATACTTAATATATCTAAATACTCAAGCTTGATATCATTGCTAAATAAACTAAGCAATCTTACATCTTTGACTATATTTGATATATTTCATTATTTAAATTTGACATCATTATGAAATAAATTAGTCAAGCTTATATCTTTTATTGTATTTAGAATATTTCATTGATTAAGCTTGACATCCTTATTAAATAAATTAAGCAATCTTACAACATTAATTATAATTGATATATTTGGATGCAATAGCTTAATATTATTATCAAGTGAATTAGGCAATCTTACATTTTTGACTATGCTTAAAATATCTTAGTGCAAAAGATTGACATCATTGCCAAACAATCTGGACAACCTTATAACTTTAAGAACATCTGAGATATTTCTATATCATAGCTTTATATTATTACTAAATAAACTATATCATTTTATATCTTTGACCATTTTTTATATATCTTCATACTCAAACTTGATATCATTGCCAAATGAATTAGACAATATTACATCTTTGACTATACTTGATATATCTTTTTGCTCAAGCTTGACATCATTGCTAAATGAATTAGGCAACCTTATATCTTTTACTACATTTAAAATATTCTATTGCACAAACTTGACATCATTGAATTAAGCAACCTTATATTATTGATTACATTTGATATATCTTCTTGCTCAAGGTTGAAATTATTGCCAAATGAACTATGTAGTCTTATATCTTTGATTATATTTAATATACCTGAGTGCTCAAGCTTGACATCATTGCCAAATGAACTTAAAAATATTACATCTTTGACTATACTTAACATATCTGAGTACTCAAGCTTGACATCATTACCAAATAAACTAAGCAAACTTACATCTTTAACTACACTTGATATATTTAAGTACTCAAACTTAACATTATTACCAAGTCACTAAGGCAACCTTATATCTTTGATTATATTTAATATATCTAAATGCTTAAGCTTAATAACATTGCCAAATGAATTTGGCAACCTTACATTATTGACTATATTTGATATATCTAGGTGCTTAAGCTTGACATTATTACCAAATGAACTAAACAATCTTATATCTTTGACTAGTCTTAATACTTTCAAGTACTCAAAATTGACATCATTGCCAAATTAATTGTGTAATCTTACAAATTTGACTATATTAAATATATGTTGGTACTCTAATCAAATATTATTGCTAAATAAATTAAATAATCTTATATCTTTAAATACACTTGGTACATTCTAGTATTTAAGCTTAAAATTATTATTTTATGAGCTAAACAATTATATATCTTTTATTATATCTTTTTATATCTTATTCTCCTAAGTTAATATAATTGCTAAAAAATTAATCAAATGGATTAAATAACTTTATGCCTTTGACTACATTATATATTTTTTTAGTGTTTCAATTTGATATTATTGTCAAATAAATTAGGCCACCTTATATCTTTGACTATACTTGATATATTATAAAGCTCAAATTTAATATAATTATAAAATGGATTTGATGACCTTAAAATTTGATGTGTATTTGGTATATAGTTGGAATATCTTTAATTATTTAACATCTAAATTATATACATATAAAGTTGTATTTGCCACTTATTTTATATATACAAAAAATTGATAAATAAATATTTTATTTTATTTTATTTTATTTAGTAAAATATTTATTTATAATATTCAAGCTAATTATTACATCCAAAGCTTTATTGACTAATTTATCTATGACCAAAGCATTCGAATGAAAAAGCTCATGCCAATTGAAATGTTACAACTCCACTTTCTAAATTAAATAAATAAAATATACTTATAACACATTTTAAATGTCCTAAATACTTTTAAGAATTGAAAACCACTTTCCAACAACTTGCATCTTTTGAATCTATTTTCTTCTCACAAATATATCCTCTATCTTAGTCTTCATATAGGCCAAGCTTTCCTTCTTTTGATAAAAGCTCCTTCCATAGCAACAAGATAAGAAAATACTTTGGAAGCAAAAGAAGTGCATGAATGAGTTGTATGAACTGCATCACATTGTCTTTACTTGCTATATAAGTTGGATATTTTAAGGATGGTCAATCATCCATTATACACACCATTGCTATAAAATTCCACTTGGATTGACATAACAAATGTGCAAGGCATCAAAAACTTGAAATACCATAAGATGTAACATCTACATCCTTCACATGTACAATTATTGTGTAGTAGAAGTTGGCATTTTTCTAATTATACCATATCCCTTCCATATCGCAAAGCTAAACAATTAGAAACACCAAGTTTGCAGCAATAATAGAATGTTAAGAGAATGTTCACAATTTACTATCCTCATTTGGCAAATTTTACTTTTGTTTTGATTATGTCTAAAAAGATATTCTATGAAGTTTATTATGAAGTGAATAGAGTGTACATGAACTTTTTAAGGCTCTAAGATGCTTGTTCTTCTTTTCTCTTTTAACATAAGCAATAGATTCATTACATATGTATAAAATATATATATATATATATTATAAATGCTTATGAATTACAGAACATTTCTGAACTGGAACAATAGCTAGAATACAAATGAAGTATAGAAGTTATAATAGGATTAGTTGTATTAATCACTAATTTTCTTTAATTTTTATGAGTGTACATGTATATTTAAAGATACTTGTTAGATAAATATACATGGAACAATACTTTGCTTGTTTTAACTCAAAATAATAAAAATAAAAACTATACTACTTGTAATAATATTCTTCTTGTGGTAATATGTATTAATGGAAATGATTATACAAATTTAAACATGTAAGATTCTATATAAAATAAAATTATTGACAATATAATTATTATTTTCTAATAAAATTCAATTATAAATACAAGACATGAAGTTGATACAAATTCGATTTTGAAAAAAAAAAAACAACAACAACAACAAATCTAAATTTTTAAAATATTTGCATTGATTAAAAAAACAGATTAAAATACTAATTTATCGAGATTAGTAATTTGAATAAGAATTAACTAAAAAAATATTATAATATATATATATATATATATGTTAAAACTAAAATTATAAAAGAAATATAGATCATGATCCGGCACCTAGCGAATGATCACCGCATTCAAGGACCTCATTCAAACACCTCCTCTGGTACATAAAACTTCAAGCCCACTGCCTGCACTCACCAACAACCTAACGTCAACTCAAATGAACGGCAGGTCGATTAAGAAACCAACAATGTTTGGCGATGAAATGCAGGCAGAATGACTAAAACATGAAAACTGCACCGAATGTGAAACAAGCGTGAATCACGATGTTTCACGGAAGTGATTCACACATTCTTATGTCTAATAGGGGGTACGAGTTTAAGTAGCATGCACACCCCACCGCAGCGAAAGAACTGACGTACAGTGAGATGCGTATCTTCAATAGCCACAATACTTAAAAAAGGATGGCTTAAGGCGGGCTAACCTGGGCGAAACCTAAGTCAGCCGCACTGTGATCACTTTTGCGTCCTGCAGCATCTCCAACGTAAAAGGAACTGCCACCGTGCAATAAAAAACATAATTCAAATGAGTAGACTGGAGCTTGATAAGCTCGGTAATGTTTATTGATCACTGCTTTGAGCCTGAATGCAGGATGGTTGCAGAACTATAATAGCTATAGTGAAAACATGGCAGACACCTTCGAACGAAGAAAACAAAATTTTATATTACACTGACACAAAAGCAGGGCTTATGACTGAAGGGAGATAAGGAAGGAAACCTTTCTTTGTTGATTGGTACTCCACCATTCAGGTGACGTTCTAGAAGGTGCCACATACCTGGCGAGGGCTTTCGGCAAGCATCCCCACTCCCCTCTTTACCACATGATATAAACACCTGCGATCCAAGTATATACATATTAATCTAATGATCGTTTCGCTCTTTCGAAAATGGAACTGTTTCTTATTCATAAAAGAATATAACCACCTAATGGGGTTCATTATGCAAAATCTTTTATCTTTCCAAAAGAGATTGCACAGTTGGAATTCATTGTAAAACAAAGACATGAAGAGTATTTCAGTGCCAAGGAACACGCCTCTTGAAAACATCTTACGTGCATGGGGACTTCTACAACATTGATGAAAGCTTCCAGGCGACCGACTTTGGAGTCTACAGCTTTCTGTCGTGATTTGGTCCATCGCTCAATATTAGACTCATTTGTAAAAACAACCTGAAAAATGTATGAACGAGACCGATTTTAAAAGTGATTAGCACAAAGTATCAACAAAGAAATTTTGCAAACGGTAAAAACATTTCTTTATACTGTAGCAGGGTTGAATTTCCTTCATATTGAATCTTAATCACACACTAGCTTATAACCGTCACGATGGTAGCCCTGAAGTATCTTCGGTATTGAAGGGTACATAAGTTTCCAAGCATCAGCTCCTGACCTATAAAAGAACCAAAAGAAATATGTCAGTACATTCTTTGAGCCAAACAATGAACCATCACTACTGAAGCAATCGGTATGATAAAAATTAAACCTTGCTGGTAAAAACACAACCAGAAAACAACCATGGAAAGTAGGCGGACCCCAGAGAAAATAACAGTGTTACGCTGAGGCTACCAGTCTAAGTATTATCAACACGATGGATGCTTGCATGATAGGAGAATATTGTTCATTAACTAAATTACGACCGAAAGACGCACCTGCGAACATGTGTATTAGCGAGACACCCATCAAAGTCAAATGCCGCTATCTTCTCAGATGGCTGCAAACCTTCCGCCTGACATCCAAACCAATCCAACAGATGGAACCATGGGCGGGGCGAATAAAAACTTAGAAGATGCAAAATACTATTAGGACCAAGTTCGGAAGCAACCTCTTCTATCTATGAGCACAATGTCAGCTTCCAAATGTTTTGCACAACACTGACATGATTGAAGAAATAGCTTACCTCATGGAGAATAACAGAAGAGAAGGACTTCCAACCAAGCGGTAGCTTTGCATCCTGTTGCAATCAATCAAAATTTAAAGATCAGTTCCGGTATCTAGGGCCCCAGAAAAATACTATGATTAGAAATGTAAGATGATGCAAACAGGGTTTGAATTTCAAGATACAATAAGAAAACAATGAGCCTTAGGTTAAACATTTCAAAGTAACTTCTATAAGCAAGAACTTGCAATTCAAAGAAGATAAGAAATCAAAGGGAAATTTGTGCCTTGTAAACATTTGCAAGCTTGGATGGACTAAATCCATTAAGAATAGTCTCCCATTTCTTTCGATCGTAGCGTAGGATCTACAGAACACCATGGTTGATTCGAAGAGAACCAATCAATTATAATTTATTCGAAAGTAAAAGTCGTTCTTTCTAGATGATTAGTATACACAATTGTACACTAGGCAAGAAAGGATGCGATGCAATATAGCAAAGTCGACCCGCAAAACCGATCCCAAATTCTCGAGATACAAGTTTCTACACTTAATAGCAGACTGAAACTATTTCATCGGACGAAAATGAACTTTTAGACAATACTGTGAGAATATTTGTAGCTCAAAAGCACGGCAGTTTCAAGTCAACACCTAAGCAAGTAGCGTTTAAAAATTGTAAAGCCAAGACCTACTCCTCGACAGTGGTAACCGTTCAGAGCCTACGTATGCAAAACTTCACGACGGTGATGAAACCTCTTTTTGGCGATTTCAGGAATTTCCTCTAGAATTAACTAAAAGCATTTTGAAAGTCACCATATGAAACAAGACAAACACAGTAAAAATAGTACCTGCTCTTTCTCAATTTGATTCATTTTTGCTGCAATACCTGGAGACACTTTTCTCTTCCTGTCGGGACTCCCAGTGACGGCCTGATTCATATCACGTGTTGCATAGAATTTCAGCACTCTTCATAAAGTAAAATTGTACACATAGTGTCCGGCTTCAGAGTTACAACACTTGAAGCCGGTATCCCAGATGCAACCTTCCAATGTCAGCTCTAAATTTCCTGTCTAAAGAGTCGTTTTTAAAATTACAATCCACAATATCTGCTCGACATGATGACTATGTTGGGGTACGTTACTCCCAATCATGTGATTTCAGCTATCCAGAAATTCCAAGTGTTTATGGGAAAAGTTCAGATCCTCGTGAATCCAGTAGGAAACGGAAGCAAAATCATCACCTGAGATGTTTCCCCTTGCACAGACACTTCCAAAGCAGAGCCCGATGAATCTTTCATGCTCTTAATGCTTCTGCTTTCAGAAGGCTCTCCATCACGGGTTTCTTCAACATCAACAGGTCCAGTCAAAGCTTTCAACGCAGCTTGATCTGAGGCCTGCATTACAACACATGTGCTTGTTCTTGAGAATTCAATCATCCTCCCCTTGCACACTTTTAGCTATATGTTGACCACGCCTAAAACCTAAGATTTGAAACTTGGAAAAGATCTAAATCAACCATACTAAACGTTGGGCTGCTCTCACAACCAGAACCACGACGTGTCTTCACTTCAAGTCGAAAAGAGGAGATGCATACAAGATGAAAAGGAAATAGATAATGCTCACTTTCAGAGTAGGAAATCCATCTAGCTTGTTCTCATCCACAGCCAATGCCACTAATGCTGCATTGCTCTTAGTGGCCAGATAACAATCAGGGTGATGCCTGTACTCCCAAACATGTTCCACAACACAAGTCAAATGCTTATACCCACAGGACCAACTTCACAGGGTACGCAACTGATGTGCCTCAATAGGATCTCAAGCCGTTTAGTAGAAACATTGTGCTCCTACATAAAACAAACAGCTTATATGATAAACGGTGACCGAAGAAGAGTGACATGACGTTTTCACTTCTTGGTCAAATCCGCATGAAGCAATCATCGCTAAAATGAAATTTGACAGGAAGATAAATAAAAAAATAAGTAAATAAGTTTTGCACGAGCCTGGTCACTCGAATACAAGCCAAAAACGTGCATCACCACGTTTGAACAGATGAAAACACTATCATCCGAGTGTAATCGAATTAAATGACATGCATAAATTCACAAATTCAGGACGAATAGAAATACGTAATTCAACACATACACACACACAAAAAATCATTCCCTTGATCGAGTATGGAACTAACCCCAGCAAAAAGGTGCAACACCCATGTTTGGCTCAAGCCTCATTCACGAAATACCACACAAAAAAATCTTGACAAGGGATGCAAGCAGGATACGCAAGATGCGTCGCTAAAATCACCGTGATTGAGATTCCAATTAAACCACAAAGAGCAATAACACAGGGGAAAGGGGGGAAAAAAAACAAAAAAAAAAGTAGAACAAGTTTTTGCAATTCACAGAGGCAAGAACCATGAGAGCGTACCAATGGGGAGTGCTGTATCCTTTAACCCAGGTGATGGAAGCGAGGCGAACGACACCTTTAGCGATTCTCTCGCCACACGACTTGCACTGAGACCGTTCCGACTTGGCATACTCCACAGCATGTCGCGGAGGCATTGTCACTCTCACAACGCTGGCTAATGCGCGCAACATCCAAAAACCCTAAAATCTAAGCCCGGATTCGCAACATCCTTCTCCCACCCAAAAGGCCCAAACAACTCAGAAAAACCCAGAGAAACGATGCAAGGAATTCTCCTACAGCTCCATGGCCCAAAACTGTGCTCCACACACAGGGGCAATGTGAGCAAAACCGGCTTGATTCATGCATCCAACGACGACAAGGACTACAAGTGAGAAATTGAGCTTGCTGGGCACAATGTCAACTAACTAACTTGTGCACAACGATCTCCCGCACTCGGCAAATGTTGCAAATTCGAACTGGACGCTTTCATTCGGGGGCATTGCGAAAGAAAGGCTTGAGCTGCAAGCTTCGTGGGACAACTCCGACTGATCGGCCCATGGGAACACGGTCCCCTCTTACCTTTTACTTTTTTGGGGCAGACAATTTCGGGCACTTGGATTTGTGTTCCCAACACATGCTTTGTTGCCCCCATTGTAGTGGGTTTGGTTTCCCATTATGTTCCTTGATTCTCTAAAAAAATATAGTTTATGAATTGTATGGGTTAGGTGAATAAAGGTATCTGAAAATGAATATCTGAAAGTGATGATCATGTAAATCCATCATTAGAGTTTTCTTTTTTTCTTTTTTTTTGAAATGTTTTGAAAATATTCTTAACAATATATATAATGCTTTTTCAAAGAAATTTTGGATGCGGTAGTTTCTATTTAATTGAAATATAAGTAAAATAATTATATCAATTTTATAAGAGATTGTTATTTTTTTTCTTTTTTTCATGTCTTTTATTTACTTTAACAAAGTTGTTAAGTTACGGTTTGATCAAAATTAACTCAGATTTGATCAAAATGCAGAATACTTTACAAATAATCTGAAGACATGTATGTGATTTTTATAAGTTATATACTAATAACTTTCAATAAAAACTTACAATATATATATATATATATATATATATATATATTTTAAATATGATTATTATTACTACTTTTAGAATATATTTTTAGAATATTCTTCTAAAAGTAACTAATTGGTGGAAGCTTGGAGAACAAACTTTTACCTTTTTATATGAAGTATAAACATTTGTAAGTTTTAAGCCATTTGATTCTTATCTTTGATTCCTTTTTTGAAATTTATATATTTTTCGATTAGTACATAAGTAGTGATTTCTACATTGAAATGTCAAACAATATCCTTGACAGCATCTTCGACAAAAAATATATATATATATATATATATATCAAGTCTTTGATCTGTTTCTTACATTGTAATTCTATACATCACATGTACACAAGAAAGTGGTTTATAAAATTGTATTCATTACAGCACTATTGTATTAACAAAGCATTGACATAGTTGAGCAGTCTGCCATACAAATCAATTATGTGACCAGGTCAAATAGCTTTTCAAAGCATGCAATAGACCACCTTATTTCTGTATAGTTGTTGAAAATTAGGACGCTAAGATGAGACGGAGATAAGTAATTGAGCTCTCAAATGAACAGAAATTGCAAGGATATTCTGAAATTTAATAACATCAGATGTCGAGTCAACCTCTTACAATAGAAGATGAAAATCTTGTATGCATTTCATTTTCCTTGCCAAAGCAGATACATGAATGGCTGCAGTGCACCCAAAGTTGATCAGATACCCAAAAAGGTGTACGCTGTATCAGACATGAATGAACCATTCCTGCACAAAATTGTCAAGTCCAAGCAGCTACAGATCCTGAAGCTGTGCAGGATGTTCAAAGCCACAAGGTTCTGTCTATAAGATAGGCAACCAACATCAGGGAATGAAGCACCTTGTTCCTGTGAAGGTATTGAGTGGAAAAGAAGAGTTCACTGTCCCAAGGTTGCACATCTTCCAACTGGGCCCCATCCTAAATAGCGTTTGAATTAGGAAGCTACGACACAAGTTTGGACGCACTTGTGTGCAGCCTGAAGCGCTCAGGATGCTAGTCCTTTTTCATAGCTAGAAACTAGGTCCAGAAGGCGAAATCCAGCAGCCCGTGTAAACTTTCTAGCAAACAGAAAGCAAGGCTTGTCTTCGCCTCCTGCTTTGCACCACTCTGTTCGTGACTCGGTTTCGTACCGGATGCTACGTAAAGCCTGCATTTACAGGACCCCAGTGAGGCTTCGCTCACCACTAGGGTGAGTGACGACACAAAATTCTCGTCTCCGAAATGTTTTCAAAACCGATCTAGCTTCAAGAGGCTTCAAGGGTGATGAGAATTTGAACTGATGTATGACTGAGCCACATACCTGAATACTTCTAATGGCCTCAAGGGTAGAATCTTGAAAATTGTAAGTAACAGGATGCCATCCTTCTCGGCCCACGTCTTTCACATGATTCTCCCATTTGCTGAAAGTTAACGTACGCCGTTCTGTTTCCGCTTCCAAACCTTCCATCTAAACCCAGAAATTTTTCCTCCAACAATCATACTTCACGTACGTACTTGGCAAGAAAATCGTTGTGCTGATAAACAAAGCATAAACACAGGAAAATCACACTCCTCATGTGCCGTACAATGTGACAAACTGTTGCGAGGTAAATATGGGTTTATTAAAAAGATTTCTTTAAAACTCCTAGCAACTCTAGTCTTCTCATGCACAGTCCTCCACGGGCTCAATGGCTTGCTGTAAGCCACACAATAAGAGAACTGGTTCCGTAAGAAACATAAAAGCTACCCAGATGCCCAGAGAAAGACAGGAACACTCACCGCAAAAAGAGTCTGAATATAATGCTCGTCGGGTATACAGTTGTGAGGCTTCTTTGTCGCGTTTAGCTATGAGAGGAAAACAGATAATTGTCAGCGAACTTGAAGACATTCTCAAAGAGACTAGAAAGTGCATTGTAAGCCACAGTTTCAACTGCTTAACCATTAGTAAATATCTGTGAGCAGGGTCTTACCGAAGGATCATCCACCCAATTGTCTGGTAGAACCACTTTCTGCATCCAGCCAACCATTTATCCACTCTTAAACCCGCTGCCACAGCGGCGATAATATTGTGATAACTCACTATCACTGCAAGTGATCACGTTTGTACAGTTGGCCCTAAAACAAACTAAGCCACGACAATAGCAAATAAATAAATAAATAAATAAATAACTGTTCAGGCTTAGAAGACTATAGAGGAAAGACAGATGATACCAAGAGTGCATAAAATAACACAGTAATGTAAGAAGGACAAAACCTTGCAATGCTGGTTAAACATTTGAAACACCGTGGAATCTGCTACTACAGCTTCAGCATGCTTTCGAGTCAAAACAAACCACTGCATGCATCAACGAATTCATCATCCATAAAATAAACAAACGTAATGATACAAGATGAAATGAAAAGGCAGCTATTCAACAAGAAATCTTGAAGGTAGATTAAAATAAATTGAGTCTAGACCAACAGAATATATAAATACTTCGAATACCAAACAGGTTTTCTTCAGTCTATTTGACACCGATTCTAAACCACACCAACAATCTATATCAACAAACCTGCTAAAAGAAGAAACATGCTCACATTACTCCAATCAAACTACCTGACTAGCTACTTGGAAGCCAGCTGCTTGTTAAGCTCTACGTGTCGAAAGAGTGAAGTGCAAGCACGACAGATTGCTTCGGACACTAGAATCAAATTTCTTTAAAAAGTTTTTGATACCTGAGATCCTTTACGCCAATTCTCATGTGGGATAACCGACTCCATGTTGATGTTGTACTGCTCGTCGGAGTAATCAACAAAACTGTTCCCCATCCCAGTCAACATCACTTACTGAACTTGAGCCGTGTATGACTGAATCGAGGACAAAACAGCACTTTGGTTAAAGATTTGACAAGGGACCCAGATTGAGAGCGAACCATCAGATTACCTGTCCACAAAGCTTTTTTGAGACGCCATCACATAATTGTAGACGTAGTCAAAATTGTAAAGTGGTATGCAGCTGCACCAAACATTGAATAATTTCCAGCATTAGTCGAGACCTCAAATCAGACTTATTTTCCTAGTGTATTACTTTTGAAAGACTCCATCTTATTCGACTTCTCGGGAGTCGCTCCATTCACAATCCACTGCCTGCTACAGGGTGAGCTACTTTCCTAGAAAAGATCAAGCACCAATCATCGACTATGTAGTAATTACAAACCCACATACTACTGAACCCAGAGCTCAAACCAAGAGCCTTCGTATCAACACCTAAAACATCGCGATCAAGGTTTCCGACACCGCTTTCAACACGGTTCGATATGTATTATATTCAACGCTTCGTCGCATGCTAGTGTACAGCGGGCACGTTTTCTCTGGCAACGATTTTGTGTGGTTAGATGGTTGAAATCGTCTAAATTCCAAACACACATGAAAGCATCAAAGATGATTACAGCAACCTGTCAGAGAGAAGGAAGAAGCGCTCGTTCAAGGGGTTCTTTAAAGCTTCTGCTATCAACAGTCGCTCTGCCTGTATCATGGTCGCCTCTCCCCATACTACCTGCCAAACCATTGCTTGCGAATTACAAAACTTCAATGCAGACCATTAGTGGCACACAGAAACCTAACTCGGGAACGAGCCAGACAACGGTTAACATAAGCTAGTAAAAAGATAAGCAAGTATCTAGAATTGATTTCCTACCTCGAATGCAGATGAGTTCCAAATTCCGTATACAAAACCATGTACATCAGCAGAGATTATATTACGGTTCGTACCTGGATAGAGTTATTCAGCTGACGATTGATAAACGAGCTGCACTGAGTATTTTCTTCGGTGTAAGAAAATCCAGGTCTTGCATGAATGTATATATTGAATTCGTGATCTCGAGATCTCTGCGAATTCCATTAAGAACTTGTTGACAAATCACGATGACCAGACAGGTAAATTCTAGCACGTATTGTGGCAACATAACTATGCCCATCTTATTAGCAGAGAGTAGCGAAACTATCCACACATATGAAAAGAAATTTCCAACGATGTAAACAAAAATTGTGACGATCATCGACCAATTCGACCAACAGCTCCCCTAAAACCAATTTAATGAAACGGCTATACCTCAAAGAAATGCTCCCATAGAATATCCAAAGGCATGACATGCCGAGCCAAAAAAAGGAATGCTAGCTTTGGTTTCAAAGGGTCCCTAATTGGAGGGGATTCCATTACATCGCGCTGCACCAAGCCTTGAAGCTTCACCAACGCTACGATAATGAGAGGTAGACCTAATAACATGCACACTCCAGATCTCCATCTCCGACGAGAGTATCCATACGGTCTTTTCTTCATGACTCTGAATGCATTAGCTCAGAGTGCTACCTAACCTGTCCCTGGACGCAAATCGTTGCTTCATTTTAATTTACAGGTCACTGTATCGCCTGTTCGAATAGAAAACACCATGTCACACCTCAAAGTTCCAGAAATGCATACTCTGAAAGGCCCCAGGGAGGCCCAAGGATGAAGAAATCTGAAGAAAAAGACTTTACCCTCGTAACTAGGCTTAAGTATGTTAATTCAGAGACGATATTTTTGTATTGACAGGATTATACATCAACACATGCTTTAAACCATTCTCATATCAGAAATGCCCACGCTACATTCGGACGCCAACATTTGATCTGCTACACAACGAGGTAAATTACATATCCCTAGTCTAGGAGCATTCTTGCAAAACCGACCAAAAGAAAAAATGCTTCATGAGTGGTCGATATTCTTTTCACATAGACCCCCTTTAAAACCCCCAAACTGAAACGCTTCAAGGCCGTGAATTCATTTCTCGAGCACCATGATGGGACGATCCAGACCATCATCCCATCTAATCTTACAGATCTCTAATACTTCAATTTCATCCCACTCAAAACCTCCACCTGAGGATTAAAAAAACCAGAATCCGCTAGGCGTTCACCCACAAAGGTTTCTCCCTCAAGGCTCATGTGTGTGAAGTTAGTTTACCTTCTCCCAACTCAACGTTCCAAACGCACCAACTACACCGATCCAACCTCATCTCCTTTCGAGACACCGCACTGTCCCAATTGACCAACAATCTCATCAAACCAGCCAAAAAACGCATTCAAAATCCAACACATCCTACAGAACACAAAACACTATAAAAAAACACACACACACACACCTTCCAATTGCTTCCTACTCCTCTTCTTCCCTCTTTCCCTCACTTGTTGCTTCAGCATCACTCTCTCCAACCCAGCAAACATAAATCGCCAAACCCAGGTCACCAGTGAATACAACCTCCCCGTAGCTTCTCCTCGTCTGCGGTGCCGACACGAGCAATGAATCGGAAAGCAGGGACTAAGGACAAGGGCACCACAAACACCTGGTGTCAGTGACTGAGACCAATCTCATCCGTTGCAAAGCGAGTTTGCAAGATCGTCAGTCAGAATCTGAGATACAAACAAAGGGTCCTTTTTTCCTCCTCGGGGAGACCCACTGACTGTCTGACACGGTGCGGATCCGTCTCCGTCGGCGCCGCTACCGGACAGACGGACGTCTTCTTTACCGGAGCGTACCCCCGTCCAAGAAAATGTACCTTCTTGGTCGATTTCGGAAATCTAAGTAATCTATTGATTCCACCGCTGCCCGATCTTTGTGTATGGAGCCTGGAAGTCACTGGCATGCATTCGCAGTGTGTGCTTTGACGAGGTGTTATCAGTTATCTTTAACTTTTTCTTTTTTGACGGTCACCGTTTATTTCTTATAATTTATTTCCGTCATTGTATTCTGTTCATCTGCATAGTGTTGCTCTATGAATAATTTTAGTGCGTCTATGTATTTTTGGGGTTGAATAGTTGATTTGGTGTGATTCTCCCCTGAATTGATGAATGAGATATTCTTTATTTATTTTTATTGTTATTTAAATGATATTGGTTTCTTACATGGTGATTTTTATCAACCTGATTTTTATCAACCTCCCACAAGAGTCTCAGAAATGATAATACTCGTCACTTGTCTATGATTTATTTATTTATTATGGTTATATATGTATATTGATGATAATTTTATTGCTTCCTTTAGAAAATATAAAATTATTTTTTTACATTAAATATAATCCATTTGCATTAATTATAATAAAAATTATTCTAAATATTCATGTCACTTATATATATATATATATATATATATATATTTATTTTAATAGTTATTTAGGTTATATGAAAAGATAAAAATAAATAAAAATATATTAATTTCATAATATTTTATAAAAGAAGCTTTCTAAAAGCTTTATAGACACAATTTCACCTTTATACATGTCTATAGGTGATTGATAGATTAAAAACTTGGCCAACAAATTAGCCAAGTGTTGCATGTATTGATAGGTTGTAGTACAAGCTAACCATGTGGCACACATACAAGAAACTTGTTTTTGTAAGTTAAGACATGTGTCTTGTAAATTAGATACATATTGGAGGTCCTGTAGAACATTGCCGCATACCTCTTAGATAGATGGTATATATAGAGGCAAAAGTAAAGCCTTCTTTATTCTTATCAATTCTTTTCTTGCTTCTAGTCTAATTTTCTTGTCTTTTAGCAGTAGTCATTCTAATTTTTTTTAATATACATAATTTTTTATTTCTATTTAGTCATCTTTCTTTGAGAATGGTCTCACTTTTTTTTATTTATATTCATGAAATTCTTATCTTTAATAAATTGACAAGAATATACTTATAATATCAAAGCTTTGTCTCTTTTTAATTAAAAGTAGATTATATATTTTTAATAAGACATAAGAATATTAAAAGGTACGGATTGTACATGTTTAAACTCATATTATTTAAAAAAAAAAAAAAAAAAAAAAAAAAAAAAAATCTCTAATCCTTTCTTTTATTTATCTTGAGCAATATTAGACAATTTTTTTTTTCTATTACATAATTATGGTGGAGCTTGCTAAAATAAAGAATACAATCGCACAAATACAAGAGGAATTAAAGAAGTGTCATCGACATATACATGTAAACCAATAATTACCTATATGATCAGATAAAAGTACGTAAAAGTAAGTTAATTCTATAATATCTTCTATAAAAGCTTCTTAGATGCTTCATAGATACTTCTTTGACTTTATAAGTGTCTATAATTGACTTTTTAGGTTAAAAACGTAGTCAACAAGTTGGCCATATGCCACACATGCTGGTAGCTTGAAGAATAAGTTAACTATGTGGTCTACACATAGAACACTTGCTTTGTAAGCTAAAGCATATGTCCACGAAAGTCAATACATATTAGAGATTATATAGAATATTGCTATTGCTACGTAGCTCCTAGTTAGATAGTATATATAGAGGCAAGAGTGAAGCTTTCTACATTCTTCTCAACTCTTTTCTTGCTTCTACTCTAGATTTAAGAGTCTTTAGTTTTCTTGTCTTTTGGCAAAAACCATTCTAGTTTCCTTTTAATATACATATTACTTTATTGTTATTTTGTCATTTTTTTTTTAACATAAATTTTTTAAGTTTATACATCTTCTTCCAGTTCATATTTTTAAAAGATTGACAAGAGTACACTTATAATATTAGAGCTTTGTCTTCTCTTGATTAAGAGTGAATTACTCTTTTTTATTGATAAGACATAAGTGTATTAGAAGTTATAAATTACCCTCTTCTAAACTAATATTATTTTTAGTATCTTCTTTTTTTTTAATTCCCCTCTTCTGCTTGTCTTAAGCAATATTAGATATTTATTTTCTAATTATTATGATGGTAGAGCTTGTTGAAATAAAGAATGTAATAGCACAAATACAAGAGCAATTGAAGGAGTTAATGCTTGCAATGAATCAACTCAATTAACCACCTTAACGAGCAACAAGAATGGCAAGAAGTGAAGATATAGATATGATTGAAGCTCCTTCAACATCTGCATCCAATCATATCTCTTCTCCTACGATAAAACATCCTTCGAATATTAGAGAACTAAAAATTACCTTGCTTGAGAAGTTTGATGGTACAAGATCCAAGTTTTGAGGATTTATCAATCAAGTATAACTTGTGATTGAAGCTCAATTCCAAAGCTATCCAACTCCACGATCACAAGTTAGATTCATTGATACACCTCTTTTTGATTCAGTATTATCATAGTTTTCATGTTTTCTTAAACAACAAGATTCAATATTGGATAATTTGGAGGCTTTTTTAGCAAAGTTTTGATCCATGTATAGAGAACATGATACAACTCATGTTGTAACTAACAAGATTCATATTTTACGAGAAGACAATCGATCCATAATATTATATATTTTACAATTTCGATAATTTGTAACTAATATTATGTAGAATGATGCTACACTTATTAGCCAATTTCTTTATGAATTATAATATGATATAAAGAAATTGATGCTCAACTTACATAATCTTCAAACATTGAGTCAAGTAATTGATTTTGCTGTGAAGTGTGATAATTGACTTTTCAAATTTTGATTTGAGAGTTGGACAAGTGGGCCTCAACGTTACTATAGTTCAATGGCAACACCAATGCATCCTCAACAAATATATTCAGAAGTAGAAGATATGCAAATTGATATGATATGTTTCAAACTTCTTATTGAGCAAAAAAATATTCATTGCCATTAAGAAGATTTGTGCTTATATTGTAGAGAACCTGAGCACATTGCTCAATATTATCCAAAGAAGTGACACAATTATAAATGATGAGTATGAATGTCAAAAAAGACAATATATTGAAAAACAAGTTTGCTCAGTTATAATAAGAACCATGCAGTTGGAACCTTATACAATACCTAATGAAGGTCATATTCTCTCTTCAAAACCTTCTCCTTGTTTTACATTAAACATTATTTTAGAACTTATACATTACAAAGCCTCTGTCTTCTTAGATTCAAGAGCCTCAATATGTTTCTTAGATGAAGAATTTGCTAAAAAACTTAGCATATTTTTAGTGAGAAAAACTAAACTTGTTTATGTAGAAGTCATAGATAGTCATCCATTATCTTTTGGAGATGTTACTTACAAAATCCTTCCTATAAAAGTAATAATTAATGGTCATAATAGTTTTATGGTATTTAATATTATTAAATCTCCATCTAATTTAATCATTTTAGGCTTATCTTGATTAAAAAAATACAACCCTCAAGTACATTGGATTTCTTATATTCTCAACTTTTCTAAAAGTATAACTAAGAGTGTAGTTAATCAAATAAAAAATCACAAATCTAGTACAATTAAACCTATGTTTGTAAGTGCAAGAGCTTTCTTGCACGCTGCAAAAGAAAGATCACTTTATGTCATTTATGCCACACTCATCTTTAATGGTATAAAGACTTCAAGTGGCATTCTAAGCCAATATCAAGAATTTCAAGATGTATTTGAAAAAAAAAATGTGGATACTCAAGAAGGAGCACAACTGCTCAATTGATCTTCAAGAAAGAATACAACCACTGTCAAGGTAGAGAGAGTTTGCCTCAAGAAAAGGCTGGTCTTCTGGCTGTCACTAATTATTCGATCAAGCTTGAAAATAAGAAAAGCCCTAAATTTATATATAATTTTTCTCTTTTTGAGTAATTACACTAAGTACACAACCCTCAAGTAACCCACAACTTCCAAAATATAATAAAATCTTCTAAAACCTTGTTTATTCTTAAGTGGAGAATTTTCCAAACTTCAACACCTCATATCTCCTAATCCGACCGTCCAAACAAACTCAAATTTTACATGAGGTACTGATGTATTCTTATTAACTTTTACAACAATTTTCAACTGCAAATTCGTTGCAGATCTTGAGATATCTTGAAAATCCTAACAATCGCTTCAAACCCTTGTCTTTATATACCCGTGTGTAATTTTCTTCATATCTTACAAAATATAAGTTCAAATTCCACGAAATTTGTATGTATAGCTTCTTAACAAAAACATTTACATTTTCCAAAAAGTTTGAGCCAAAAATTCATCCAAACACTCAAGTTATGGCTCCAACCATTACTACAAACAAAACCGCTTACTTACTACCTTTGATTTGGAAGCGCCACCTTCAACTCCTTATAACTCCTTCATATAAACTCTAAAAGTAATAATTCTTTTATAAAAGATGTAGGCCTTGAAATCACCGTTCCAGTCGCACCTTTCGATCTTCAAAAGCTACTATAAAACTCCTTGTATCCTCAAATGAGGAACAAGATATCTTTAATTAACACCTTAACTTCAAATGGCTATAACTTCTTCACCCTAACTCCAAATCTTCTAATTTTTGCACAAAAATTGTATCTCAAACCCTAAACTTTATAGTCCTAGCTTCTAATCTGTAAATGCTCTCTTTGAAGTCGCCGAAACCCTTCTTAAGGTAGCCTCCTCAAAGCCCATTGGGCATGGTATTCGACCAATAGGGATGAAGTTCTCCATTCCTTGCCT